CTTGAAGCTGAGGGCAAGGAGAGGGTGGCAAAGATGGGGCAGAGGGAAGGGTGGGTGGAATTGGGGAGGTCGTGAATCAAGAATGTCTGAAGCCTCATCCGTATGGACGTTCTTGCCCACAAGGAGGTGACAGTGATCAGCAACTGAGAGGTGTGGCACAGAGGACAGTAGAGATGGCAACAAGAGAGGTGTAGTTTGATGGCATGGTCTTCAAAGAAGCTGGGATCTTAAAGGGAAGAAGAGTAGAAACTATCTAGAAGTGTCAAGGGGCCAGCCTCTGAGGCACTGGGTGTGAAAAGAACTGTCTCCTTAGGCAGGTTTCCCTTAAGACAAAGGGAAAGTACCCTTCAGAGAGGGTTGGCTGTGGTCCAGAAGGTGGAGTGAAAGGGCTTGGGAGGTCTGGAAGGACATAAGGGTGTCTCCTCTGCCAGGCAGTGCATTGGATATGGAGGATGCCCCTCGGAAGAAGCAGACAGGTTCCTGCCAAGGGCTCTGTGCCCTCCTTTGGCATCTTCTGAGTGCAGGGACTGTGGCTCCGTAGGCTTCTCCCCACCTAGCAGGGCTCAGAAAACGTGGCCTTCCCTCCCATTTACTGTGGCAGCCCCTTTTGCACTGAATCATCAATATGATTCATCAATGTGACCCTTGAGGATCGGGCTCAGGAGCATTTGGGAAGGAGGCCCGTGCCTGGGCCCGTGCCTGTGTGCGTGTCGAGGGGTAGGGAGGGAGCCTTTGGACCCTGCCGCAAGCTGAGTGCTGCCCCTGTGCCAAGCCATCTCCTTTGCCCTCGCCCGCTCCCTTGCCCTCCCAGACACCATCCGGAAGATGAAGAACGACTTCCGGAAGATGGAGGACGAGATGGACCGGCTGGCCACCAACATGGCGGTGATCACGGACTTCAGCGCGCGCATCAGCGCCACCCTGCAGGACCGCCACGAGCGCATCACCAAGCTAGCAGGTGGGCCGGGTCCCGCAGCCGGTGCCGGAGCGGGCCGCCGGGGGCCCTGGGGCTCACACCAGCTGTCCCCGTCCGCCAGGCGTCCACGCGCTGCTGCGGAAGCTGCAGTTCCTCTTCGAGCTGCCCTCGCGCCTCACCCAGTGCGTGGAGCTGGGCGCCTACGGGCAGGCGGTGCGCTACCAGGGCCGCGCGCGGGCCGTGCTGCAGCAGTACCAGCACCTGCCCTCGTTCCGCGCCATCCAGGACGACTGCCAGGTCATCACGGCTCGCCTGGCTCAGCAGCTGCGGCAGCGCTTCAGGTGAGGCCCGGGGGCCCTCGCCCACGCCGCCGGGGTCCGGGCCTGCCTGTCGCGGTGCGTGGCCCCGCCCCGAATTCTGTCGGCCTGCCCTTCACCGCCACCTCCCACCTCGCAGGGAGGGCGGCTCGGGCGCCCCCGAGCAGGCCGAGTGCGTGGAGCTGCTGCTGGCCCTGGGCGAGCCGGCGGAGGAGCTGTGTGCCGAGTTCCTGGCGCACGCCCGAGGGCGGCTGGAGGCCGAGCTGCGGAGCCTGGAGGCGGAGCTGGGGCCCTCCCCTCCCGCTCCCGACGTCTTAGAGTTCACCGATCACGGAGGAAGTGGCTTCGTGGGTGGCCTCTGCCAGGTGGCCTCGGCCTACCAGGAGCTGTTTGCGGCCCAGGGCCCGGCGGGTGCCGAGAAGCTGGCGGCCTTCGCCCGGGAGCTGGGTGGCCGCTACTTTGCGCTAGTGGAGCGGCGCCTGGCACAGGAGCAGGGCAGCGGCGACAACTCGCTGCTGGTGCGGGCGCTGGACCGCTTCCATCGGCGCCTGCGGGCGCCTGGGGCCCTGCTGGCTGCGGCGGGGCTGGCTGAGGCTGCCACGGAGATCGTGGAGCGGGTGGCCCGGGAGCGCCTGGGCCACCACCTGCAGGGCCTGCGGGCCGCCTTCCTGGGTTGCCTGACCGACGTGCGGCAGGCTTTGGCCGCACCTCGCCTGGCTGGAAAGGAAGGCCCGGGCCTGGCCGAGTTGCTGGCCAACGTGGCCAGCTCCATCCTGAGCCACATCAAGGCCTCTCTGGCAGCTGTGCACCTCTTCACGGCCAAGGAGGTGTCATTCTCCAACAAGCCCTACTTCCGGGTATGGCCTGCCTTTGGGCATCCTCCCCCCCTCCCCCCACCGCCTTATTCTGGGCATTCTTCTATTCATCCTAGAGTTTGACAGCTATCAGGGCACACAGTCCTTGCCCAGGCACTCTGGATGTGGTTTCAGGCTGTCACGAGGAAGACTGGCACAGCCTGGAGGGGAGGGGAAGGCTGGGAGGGCATCTGCCAGCAGGGTCCCCAGCGCTGGCTTTGTCTTGTCCCTTTGCACTCCCCCCCCCCAGCCCCCGCCCCAAGCAGGGTAGCTGCTCTTGGGTCCTGGAGTGCAGGATGGAGCTGTCCCTTGGAGAGGGGCTAGGGCATTTAGGGTCCCAGAAGAGGGTCACTAGCAGCCCTTGCCTGGAAGAGGGGACCTGTGTGTATCTGGGGCCCTCCTCCTCACAGGGCGAGTTCTGCAGCCAGGGTGTTCGTGAGGGCCTCATCGTGGGCTTCATTCGCTCCATGTGCCAGACGGCTCAGAGCTTCTGTGACAGCCCTGGGGAGAAGGGGGGCGCCACACCGCCTGCTCTGCTCCTGCTTCTCTCCCGCCTCTGCTTGGACTATGAGACAGCCACCATCTCCTACATCCTCACCCTCACCGATGAACAGTTTCTCGTGCAGGTGAACCACTAGCTCACAGCAGGGTCGGGGATGGTGGTCCCCCATGGACAGTGCTGTCATGGTCAGACCCAGGCCAGCTGCCTAGGCCCAGCCCACCCTCCCCCTGGCCCAGCCTGTGCCCCGCTCCTGCTTGGCAGGGGCCCCTGAGCTGCCCCCAGCACTCACTGTCTCTCTGTCCTCTGCGCCCCTGGCTCAGGACCAGTCTCCAGTGACACCCGTGAGCACACTGTGTGCAGAAGCCAGGGAGACAGCACGGCGGTTACTGACCCACTATGTGAAGGTGCAGGGCCTGGTCATATCACAGATGCTGCGCAAGAGTGTGGAGACACGGGACTGGCTCAGTACCCTGGAGCCCCGGAACGTGCGTGCTGTCATGAAGCGGGTGGTGGAGGACACGACGGCGATCGACGTGCAGGTGCTTCCCCCCGGGCTGGCCAGGGGGTCCTCATGCCTGCTGTGGGTGTGGGGGGAGTGACCCTGGGAGGATCAAGACATCAGTGCCTGCGTCTGTGGTCTCGTTCCTCCTCAGCCCTGACTCGGGGCGTCATGGCCCCCATTTCACCTATGAGGAGACTGAGGTCTAGTCACCCAGAGAATCAGGGCGGGCAGGGCTACCACTGAAGATTGGGCCTCAGTACCAGGTCTTATGTCCCGCCTTTGCCCCACTCCCCCACTACTATAAATAGTGACCAGGTACCAACCAGATACTAGGTCCCCACTACCCTGTGATTCTCGTAATAAATGAGTTTGTAATTTAGGGTGTCCCGGGCCCTCACCCTGGGCACCTGGTGGGCAGGAGGCTCCCCTTGCTCTGGCCTCCTTGCAGTGCCTCCTTCCACCACTAGGTGGGGCTTCTGTACGAAGAGGGTGTCCGCAAGGCCCAGAGCAGCGACTCCAGCAAAAGAACCTTCTCTGTGTACAGCAGCTCCCGTCAGCAGGGCCGCTATGCACCCAGCTATACACCCAGGTCTGGCTGGCCAGGGTAGCCCTGGGGGGTTGGAATGGACAAAGGGGGCTGGGGGTGCAGGGTGGGCTCTGATTGCTTGTCTCCTCCACCATCCAGCGCCCCAATGGACACTAATCTCTTGAGCAACATCCAGAAACTGTTCTCTGAACGTATTGATGTGTTCAGCCCTGTGGAATTCAACAAGGTCTGAAGTCCCCAGTGACCCCACTTTCCAGGCGCCCTGGCGAAGGTTGGCTGAAGCAGTCGCACCCTGAGTCAGGGAGCCTAAGACTCTGGGCTGTTTCTAGGAGGCAGTGGTCATCCAGAGCCCCACCATCACCATATTCCAAGGCCCTCTGCCCTGACCTTGGTGTGCTCCCAGCCTGGGTCTGGATGCACATCTAGAATGCCTGTTTGGCTCTTGGCCTTGTTGTCACAGTAGTCCGGGTCCTCCCCAGGGATTCCTGTCCACACCATAGTCTCTGCCCCAACCCAGCCCACATTCTAGGACCTGGTGTTCCTTTGCCTGTAACTCAGCAAGTCTCTCCCCTCCCCATGTCAGGGCTGACTCCCGTCTCTGCTTCTGATGTCATGGGGCCTTCCCTGTCTGTTCTCCAGATGATGGTGCCAACACTGTATCTGTCCCTCCCTCTTACGGGGGTCCTGGGACTTTTACACCCCATCGTAGCTCCTGGCCGCTTACTGTCTCTCTGGCCTGTGCACAGAATGTGGGTGCCCTCAGGGACCCAGTGCCCCTTCCAGCACCTGCTGTCCCCGGGCTGCATTCCTGTATCCTTGCCCGCAGGTATCGGTGCTGACAGGCATCATCAAGATCAGCCTGAAGACGCTGCTGGAGTGCGTGCGACTGCGCACCTTTGGGCGCTTCGGCCTGCAGCAGGTGCAGGTGGACTGTCACTTCCTGCAGCTCTACCTGTGGCGCTTCGTGGCCGATGAGGAGCTCGTGCACCTGCTGTTGGATGAAGTGGTGGCCTCGGCTGCCCTGCGCTGCCCGGACCCAGTGCCCATGGAACCCAGTGTCGTCGAGGTCATCTGCGAGCGTGGCTAGGCCGGGCCGCTGCCATGCATGGGCCTGTGCAGTCGCCCTCCCCTCCCCGTCCCCTGGTGTCCCTGCGTCCGCTGGCCCTTCCCCTCGGGCCTCAAGACCCGCCAATAAAGACGTGTTGTTTCCTCCTCCCTCTTGCTTGCGGGGGCGGGGCTGGCTGGGGGTGGAGTCGTGAGGTGGCTCAGGAGGCAGCCGCGTCAGACCCGCCCCCCAAACCGATTGGCTGGAGTGTGGGCCCAGGATGGGCCGGGGGTGGGTCCACTTAAAGACCGAGGGACTCGAGCGATAGCAGTCCGAGCTCAGGGACTAAGCAGGTGCTTGTGCAGTGGGCTGATCCTCCGCGTCTCCAAGCTCATGTCCTGGGGGAGAAGGTGGACTGTGCTTCTCTGACGGACTCTTGTGTACCCCCCCCGCCGGTGGAGCGGAGACCATGGCCTCTCCTCAGGGCTCCCGGGCTCCGCTGGAATTCGGGGGACCCCTGGGTAATGGGGCGGGGGTGGAATCTGTAGTCAGGCTCAGCGAGGGCTCAAACGGGGCGGGGGGCGGAGGAGCTAGGATCTGAGGGTGGAAAGCTTTGAAGGGTCTCCAGAAGCAGAGGGATCTGGGGCTTGCGAGGGACTGTCTGGGGAGGGGGCTGCACAGCACCGGATTGTGGAGTGGAGGATTGTACCAAGAGCAGGAGGAGGAACTTTGGGGGGGGAGAGGGGGCGGGGCCCAAGATGGAAGTCAGGGGAGGGGCTGAGGGCTGAGAACGGGATATGGAAGAGGGCAGTGGGAATGCTGAGGGGTCCTGGAGACGACAGGGCGCCTGGGCGGGGCGGGGGGGTGTTGGCGTCGGAGGGCAGCTGCGGAGCCGACGCCCGACGCGATCGCCCCCGGTCCCAGGCGCGGCGGTGCTGATGCTGCTGCTTCCTGCCACCATGTTCCACCTGCTCCTGGTGGCCCGCTCGGGCCCCGCGCGCCTCCTGAGCCCACCCCCCTACCTGCCGGGACCCGAAATGCTGTGGAGCCCGCAGATACTTCTGCTGTGGTTCACCTGGCTCGGCCTTCAGGCGGCTCTCTACCTATTGCCGGCGGGCAAGGTGTGCACTCGGCTCGCGGGGGAGGCGGGCGGAGGGAGGGGGCTCCGCTGGAGAGAAGACACTCTCACCCCTTATCAGAGCCGCTTTGTGCCTGCAGGTGGCCGAGGGACAGGAATTGAAGGACAAGAGTCGCCTGCGCTACCCCATTAACGGTGCATGGACGCGGGGGCGGGGGGATGGCTCCCTGCGCTAGAGTTGTGCGAGTGGGGATGGAGCTCTAAGCCCAGTGGAGATTAGCCCCCAGCCCCAAGCTCCGTCAGATGCCTATTTTACGCTGTGTGCCCAGGGTAGCCTTGGGGGAATCTCACTGTCCCTCTCCACGTCCCTTGTTCCTCCACCCCTACCCGCAGCATTTGCTCTTACTCTCTGCACCAGAGCAGTGGTTGGGGTGACCCAGAGGCAGGGCCATTGACCTCCTTGGGCTTTGGACTGTGTTTGTGTATTGGGGGGCGAGGGGGGAGTGAAGGGGAAGGGCAGAGGTGTAGGGGCGCAGCCCCCAGGATTCATTGTGTACTGTGGTTCAGGCTTCCAGGCCCTGGTGCTGACAGCCCTGTTGGTGGGCTTGGCTGTGTCTGCCGGGCTGCCTCTGGGGGAGCTCCCGGAAATGCTCCTGCCCTTGGCCTTTGCGGCCACCCTCACCGCCTTCATCTTCAGCCTCCTTCTCTATCTGAAGGCCCTGGTGGCCCCTGCCTCGGCCCTGGCCCCTGGAGGGAACTCAGGTGAGAGGGGTCCCAGTAGGGTGCAGACAGAAGCAGATGGGGGTGCTCACTTGCATCTTCAGCCTCCGTTATTCTCCAGGCAATCCCATCTACGACTTCTTCCTGGGACGGGAGCTCAACCCGCGCATCTGGTCCTTCGACTTCAAATATTTCTGTGAACTGCGACCTGGCCTCATCGGCTGGGTAAGCTGGGCATGTCTATGTGGGCCAGGAGGAGGGGTGGGACGCCTAAGCAGTGCTTGGGCAGGACAGGGCAGGGCCACTATTGCGCAGAGGTAAACCATTAATCACTCATCCCACAAATATTTGTTGAGTGCCCCGGGCACTACTCTAGATACAAGGAGACAAAAGAGAAAAAAAGTTATGGGAAAGCAACAAACAAACAAACAAACAAACAAAACTCTGCCTTCGTGGAGCATACATTCTAGGAAAGACAGACAAAACACGAGTGAAATATATGTAGCGTGGCAGGGGCGCTACGTGCTAGGGAGAAAAGCATGGAGGGAATTAGGTGAGCAGGTGCAACTTTAAATAAATCAAGCTCAAAATCTATTCTGAGGACAGGAGAGGCTGATGCTTTGCTGCCTGCTGGTCCTAGCGGTGCAGCAGTTGAGACTGATCATTGGGTGAGCAAGCTGTCCATCACTAGTGGCCTCGAGGACATGCCAACTGTGGGTTTGGGTTATAATCACCCATGCTGGACTGTGGTCACGATTTCCCAAAGGGTCTCTTGGGCAAGGTCCCTTATGTCACCCTGGGAACTAGAGGTGAGAGGAGGCCAAGTGTCCACCATGGATCTGCACCCTGGCCCCCGAGGCGATTTCCCCATGTGTGAAATGGGATAAAGTTAGAACTTCCTGCAAAGGTTCTTGTGAGGGTTAGAAGTGGTAACGTTAATCACAGCACCAACCCAGTGCTACCAGAATGGGTTTACTCACATGAGTGAGTATTTATTATGTGCCAGACACATCATGTTTCGTGCTGCCCATTCACTATGTCAACGAGTCCCCAGACAAGCTCCGTGAGGCAGGTCCATGATTATCTCCATTTTCCACATGGGGTGGGGGAAAGGAGGCTTTGGAGGCGGGCTGGGAACAGACTGCCCTGTCCTCCCTCTCCCATGTCCCCAGGTCCTCATCAACCTGGCCCTGCTGATGCAGGAAGCAGAACTTCGGGGGAGTCCCTCCCTGGCCATGTGGCTGGTCAATGGCTTCCAGCTACTCTATGTGGGTGATGCTCTCTGGCATGAGGTGAGGCTGGACTGGGCGAAGAGGCAGGGAGGGCATTTGAGGACCTCATGGGGACTCAGTGGGTGTGTCTGGGTCCCACCCTTGCAGGAGGCTGTTCTCACCACCATGGACATCACACACGACGGGTTTGGCTTCATGCTGGCCTTTGGGGACCTGGCCTGGGTACCCTTCACTTACAGCCTGCAGGCCCAGTTCCTGCTCCATCACCCGCAGCCCCTGGGGTTGCCCATGGCCTCAGTCATCTGCCTCATCAATGGTCAGTCAGGAGGGGGCTCCTCCCCCTTTCATTCATTCATGTTCTGTTTATTCAGCATCTGGTAGGTACTAAGCCTCAGGCACTCCTCTAACACAGGGGTGGAGGTTGGGGGTGGGGGGGTAGGGACTGGGTCCTAGGTCTCCAGGCCAACTGGGCTGTGGGTGGATGGTCAGGGTCAAGTAGAAGGCTCTAAACCTCAACCCTGACCACTTGCTCATGCTTTCCCCTAGCTGTTGGTTACTACATCTTCCGGGGGGCCAATTCCCAGAAGAGCACCTTCCGAAAGAATCCTTCTGACCCCAGAGTGGCTGGTGAGCTGGGTTTCTAGGGTGCCATGAGTGAAGTGGTGCAGCCGGGCTTCCTCCAGGTCCCCCATCCCATTCCCTGTCTTTCCCCAGGCCTTGAGACCATCCCCACAGCCACGGGGCGGCAGCTGCTGGTGTCTGGGTGGTGGGGTATGGTCCGCCATCCCAACTACCTTGGAGACCTCATCATGGCTCTGGCCTGGTCCTTGCCCTGTGGTGAGTGGCTTGGGAGGGCACAGGACGGGGACCGCGCGCGTGTGAGGGACAGAGGTGGTGACCACAGGATGCCCCGTCTGGGCGTGGAATGGAGAACGGGGATGCAGCCTAGTGGAGGGAGCAGTCAGGGAGCTGGGAATGGATTCAGTGAGTGGCTGGGGGCAGACCTCCCCGCCAGCCTCGCGGAGCCAGCCCCTTGCTGCAGACCCGGACCTTTCACCAGAGCCCGTGTCCCTGTGAGCCATTCGATGCGGAAACCTTTGTGAGCTGGGGAGCTGCTGGGCGGTCACAGCCTCCACTTCCCCACAGGAGTGTCTCACCTGCTGCCCTACTTCTACCTCCTCTACTTCACGGCCCTGCTGGTGCACCGGGAGGCCCGGGACGAGCAGCAGTGCCTGCGGAAGTACGGCCTGGCCTGGCACGAGTACTGCCGGCGCGTGCCTTACCGAATCCTGCCCTACGTCTACTGAAGCGGCTCCACTCAGCCCAGACGGGGGCAGGTGCCCACCCATCCGGCAGCGCGGCCGCCTGGGAGCCTGGGCCCCACCCTGCTCTGAGCTCCAGCAAGCAGGGACCAACAGCCTCAGGGAGGTGCTCTGGAGCAAGGAGAGGTGCAGCCAGTGCCCACAAATGGGAGTGGAGGGGCTCGCTCTTCCTCCTGGATAAACATCTGGAACCCATGGTACCACTTCCCTCCCTTTCTGGGGCTAGGGTGTTTAAAAACTGGTTGGGTCAGCTCTGGCCCAGGACAAGCTGAGAGGTGGCTTGTGGGCCCGAGAGTCTGGGGTTGGGCGGCGGGGGTGGGGAGTGGGGGTGGGGTGGGGGGTTGGGGACACGACAACAGCTGTTCCTCAGAAGCAGGCACTGCTCAGAGGGCAGACCAGTCACAGCTTTATTAGTGACAGAGGGATCCCAGTTCAGCCAGGGAGTTCCTCGATGAGAATTCTTGGAGCAGGTGGCAGGGAGCCTCCCCAAAGCCGCTCCAACTCCCCGGTGAGGGCTGCCACCTCCTCGGCCACCACAGCGTGGGCTCGATGGGCCCGGGCACAGTCCAGAGCCAGGGGTGTGAGGGCCAGCTCATTTTCATTGGTCCAAGCCAGTAGGAACTGGCACTTCTTCCGCGCCCGGTAGAGGCGATCTCGCTCTTCCGTGGCCACAGCTTGCTTCCGGGCCCGGCCCAGCGTCCGCGCCAGGTGCCCCAGTGCTGCCAGCGTGTAGCCTTTCTGGTCGGCCGGGCCTTCGCCCATGAGGATGCGGGCGGCTTCGCGCATGGCACCCCGTGTGCCCAGGGGCCCAGGCGGATGCTCGCCTGCTTCGAGCACCTGGGCGGCGGCCTGCAGGGCTTCCTCGGCAGAGGCGAAGACCTGCTGCGCACCCAGGGCTCCGGAAACGCCGAGCAGCGTGGCACAGAAGTCGGAGAGCAGCGCATCGTCGCCGCCGTGATACAAGGCAAGAGTGTGCGCGTAGGAGAACAGCACGTTGGGCAGCTGGAAGCGCACGAGCGGCGAGGCCGGGCTGCGGCTCAGGCTGGCCAGCGTGGGGATCCGGGTGGGCACGGCGGGCGCGCGGGCCTCGGGAGCGTCTTCGAGAAACGGCTCGGCGGCGGCCTCCTTCACGGGTTCCGGTGACGTCCTCGCGGGGGTGGGCTCCCGCTCCGCAGGGTCATGGTCCGCAGCATCATCCACCTCCTCCAGAAGCCGCGACCCGGCCCCGCGGCCCCACCACCACGGCCGCCACGGGGGCAGCAGCCGCCCGGCCTCGCCACGGCTCAGCAGCCGCTCGAAGGCCGCCTTCTCGGCGGGGGCCAGCAGCTCCCAGAGCCTGGTGAAGCCGCCTGGCGCCGGGCCAGGCCTGAGGCCGGCGTCCTCGGGGTCGTCCTCGGTCTCGCGTTGCTCTCGCAGCCGCCGTAGGGCGCTGGCCAGGCGGCTGGGCGAGGCGCTGCGGCCGCGGAGCTCTCCCAGCACCTGGTCCCGGTAGAAGGCTTCGGCGCAGGTGCCATGCGCCCGGTAGCAGCGCAGCGAGCAGTAGGGCACATTACAGCGAGGGCAGGTGTAGCGCGCGGGCTGGGCCTCCCCGGCCGGGCAAAAACCACAGGGCCCGGCCGGCTCCATGGCAACTGGCGCCCCGCGCCACTTGAGAACGCTCACAGGCAGCGCTGGGCAACTTCCGGTGCTAATCGGTTACTTCCGCCTCCTTGCGAGGCCAACGGAGCGTACTCAAAGCTCCCGAGGACTCTCGGCAACTTCCGCCCACACTCGGAAGCTAAGCCCCACCCCTCTGTCAAATGGCGCTTGAGCAGGCGCAGGAGCGGGTCGGGACGCACAGGCCCCGCCCTGCGCGGTGAGCGAGGGAGGGCGAGTGCACCAGGCCGGTGCTCCGCTGGTACCAGCTCGCCCCCTAGTGGTTCCCTTTTTAGCACGATAGAGCCTCCTGGCGGAAATCGATCTTTGAGAAGCACCTACTCTAGGCCCCTAATTGCGCCAGGCCCATGGGGGATGAGATGCATCCCTGCACTGGAAGGGCAGTCATTCTACTAGGGGACACAGACAAAGGGGAGTGTAGAAAAAGGGTGAAGATGGACTACTTGGCCTAGTCTCTGTTTATGTGTGTGTTGGAGGCATTTCCCCTCTTGAGAAGAAAGCAACGTTTAACAGATATGTTATAATATAACAGATATTATTTCCCCTCCAAATCTATGGTTCATCCAACTTTAAGGTGAAGAATCCATACTAGGTGCCAAAACACATCGAGAAGCAGAGATGGGATCCCTGTCCTAATGAGCTTGGTTTGTGGTAGAGTGGGGTGATAACCCCCACACACCATGCCAAGGGCCCCAAGGACTTGATCCATGGCACCCATACTGGTTCTTTAGACCCACCCCCAGTTAAGTTTCGCTTTCACAATACCTTGTATTTATATCCGTATGGATCATCTACTTCCCTATCAAGATCTGGATGGATTTGATGACCTTTTAAGTCCGCTCATTTTTTACATCCCCATTACTACCAGTAGTCTCAGCTACTAGTCCCTTAACTGGTTCCCTTTCTTGCCAGTTGTCCAGAAAAACCAGCCAAAGCACTGGATCACAAGTCAGATCACATCAGGCCCTTGCTTAAACCCTTCCTTGTACTTGGTGACCCTCCACTGCACTTGGACTCAAACCTAAACTCCTGTCCAGGTTTGACAAAACCACACAGCTCTGCACACAGTTCTCTGGGCTGGACCTCTTTCGTCATCTATTTGATAGGTTTCAGGCTTCACACATCCCATTTTTAGAGACCTTCCCTAGGATATTATGTCCACCCCCAACCACCCCTCTTTCATTACAACACCCTGCTTACTTTCTTTGAGGCTCTAACACTTAACTAGCTTCTGCACTTAAACCACAAGAATCAAAACACCTAGAAAGGAGGTGACCGTCATTTTCTTAAAAGATTACTAGAGATAAAAATAGCCTATATGTTTGCACACTATGTGGCAGGTGCTGATCTAAGAACTTCACATCCTTTATTTATTCTTCGCAGCAACTCTCAAAAACATGGCAGAAATTAAATAATTTGAAGGTTGGAAGTGAGAAAATAAATGAAGCAAGAATTCAAACTTTTTTAAAAGGCAGTCCAAGTCTAGATCCAAGGTCTTTACTTCATGTTATACTGTTTTCCAAGAACCAGCAGGTTCAAAAACCTTCGCAAAATGAGTGGGTACCCATGTTGCCAGGGGAATCTCGAATCAGTCCCAGAGAATTCCACTCCTAGGAACACTCAATCAACCAACCCACCAACCTGAGCTACGATTAGGTTAAGGTACAAACAAGGTTACCACAGTGCCAATGTAATCAGGCAGTGCTTTCTGTAGGGCCACTTTTAGGCAACAGGCTTGGGCAATGGAAGACCGAGTAAGGTAGAAGGGCCCATAGCAACCACCCGGCTGAACGCAAACAGGTCCATCAGGAAACCCACCTCAGAACAGCCGTAAGCCCTTGCTGACCAATGGGCTGCTTACAACCAGGCACAGGAACTAAAAAAAAGTAAAGTTCCACATGTTCCCCTACCTCCTCCCCCTCCCCCTTAACTACAGGCCCCCCACCACTGCCTCCTGGCACAGTCTCTCCTCTGCTCCCTTGCAGTGTATTCAATAAACTTCCATCTCCTCTGTTCTGCCTTGGGTGAATTCTTTCAGGGCCAGCACCGCTGACCTCCCAATAGGGTCGCCCCACTTTCCAGAGTAGGGACATACTAGCCCCCTGCCCTGGACTCCACTAAGGCCATAGCTGGTCCCAAGTTCAGGAAAGGTTCGACTGGCCTTCCCTGATACATCTTCTTCTCACACTTCTCTACTGATGCCTACTGATCCTCCCACAGAGAATTCTCATCTTCTCTGTTTAAAGAACAAGAACGAGGCGCCAGGGTGGCTTATTCGGTTAAAGGTCTGACTCTTGGGTTTCAGCTCAGATCTTTGAGCTGGAGCCCTGTGTGGAACCCCATGCTCAGTGGAGGGCCTGCTAAGATTCTCTTCCTCTGCCCCTCCCCCACTCTCTCTCAAATAAATAAATCTTAAAAAAAAAAAAAAAAGGAACAAAAACAAAAAAGGATTTGGGAGAATTATCAAGTTATTTGGAGTGGGAAATTTCCCCAACTCTCCATCTGAAGAGTTACCATCTGGGGTTACCAATTTTCATAGTAAGCCTTTTCTTGTAGTTTACCATGCCTTCCCCATGCCAGCTGAGAGCCCCTGCCTCTTCCAACCTGACTGTGTCAAGAAACCAGAACCAGGCCTCACTGTTCCAATGAACACACCACCAGCCCTAGAAGCTGTGTATCTTCCCGAGGCCCTGCACGTGAAGATGAAACAGTGAGATGACTGAACTATGTGGCTTTATTGGGGAAAGCCAGGATTACAATGGACTTAAGAGTTGGCATTGGGGCCCTTCTTCTTGCCAAAAGTGGGCACAACGTTGACAAAGCGCCTGTTGTACTGCATCCGCCGTTTGGCTCGGCCTGTCTTCTTCTTCTTTTTCTCCTGTTTGGCCACCTGGGAAAAGGGAGGGATGATAAGACCTTCCACGCCTTCCCTCAGTCTTAACTCCAGGCAGGGAGAAGGCAAACAGAGGAAAGACCAAAGGTCTTGGCTTAGCTTAAAAACAAACAAAACAAAACCTGCACACAGAAAAACAAAAACCCAAAGTCTAAACACCACCACAAATACTCTCACCTACCTTGGGAGTCTGCCCTCTTACTTTCCCAGCACGGGCCAGAGAGCCATGGACTTTACCTGCGGTGGGAAAGGAGGTCAGAAGACAGGAGAGCAAGAAGGCCCCACCCAGTAGAATCCCTTCTCCCTCAACTCAAGCCTTTGAAGATAAACAGGGACCAACAGGGAATGAAAACAAAGTTACAGAGATATGACCTCTGACCCAAGAGTGTTTATTTAGTATGGTATGTTCCAGGGTTTCACGTCAGGATTTTCCAGCCCCTGACTTTAAACAAGAAGGAAGAGTACCTGGAGAATCCAGTCTAGTCAAGGGACTAGTAAATAACTGTCTCTGGCTTGATCTTAGTGACCAAACAAGGGACTAGTAAATAACTGAAACCGAACGAGGCTGTGGCTCAGTCTCCCATGGACCTCTTAATGAACAAGGTAAGCACGAAGAACCACCCTGGGTTGAGGACACTGAACTTCACACCCCACCCTCATTAGGAGTTTACAAACATTTCAAAGAACAGTGCTCCCCAACTCACCTCCGAGCATGCGGCCGGCTACTTCCAAGGTGGTCAGAGCCTCCACTCCACACTGACCTAGGGTAGCCTCATCCTCCAGGGGCGTGCCTGCCAGGAGCACGACTTGATCTTCTGGCGCGATGCCCTCCAGGGAGGCTACATGAGCCTCGGGGAAAAATAAGACTCATCAGCGTTTCCGCGGGGAGATGGAGACTGAAGAACACAAGAGGACGGGGCCCAGGAAGCACCACGCAGCCTTACCTTGATCTGGGCGACCGTCTCCTGGCCGGTCACCTCGAGGGTGTGTAGCTCCTGGGCGCGGACAAAGAGCTGCATGTCGGCGACTGAAGAAAGAGAGACTCGTAAGAGAAGAATGCTCTGGGAGAGAGGGGGGTCGGGGGAAGGTAGCGGGCCGGCACCGATCGCGCTGGGATACAGGTGGTCGTGGGATGTCACGTGGGTTAAGGCCGGGCCTGCTGGGGGGGGGGGGGTCGGCTGGGGACCGGGAGCTGGCCCTCAGAACACATCCTCTCCCTCTATTTTTCCCGCGCTCTCTGGCTTCGCGGCCAACCTGCTAATAGGCCCTCCAGATCCAGCGGTGGCCCAAATCTTACCTGAACCGCGGGCACCGCAGCCACTACCGCGAAGATGGAGTCGAGAAAGAGGAAGGAGCAAGGGCGCGCACGTCCTCACCGCCTGCTGCGTGCCACGTCACTGCTGGGCGACCGCTGGAGCCCTTGGTGTTTGTACCGCCCACGGCAGTCCTAGCTCCGCCTCTTTACGCTTTGCGCAGGCGTTCTTTCGGTCCCGGGCGCGCCCAGGAAGGGGCGGGATCTGGCCGGTTGTACGCGCAGAAGGCCCGTGTACGGGAGCAGTTCAAGATGGCAGCGGCCATGTTCCGGGCTACGCTGAGAGGGTGGAGAACCGGCGTCCAGCCGGGCTGCGGGCTACGGCGGCTGGTGAGAACGCTGAGCCTGGAGGTGTGGGAGGAGGGCTGCGTTGAATCTCGTTGTCGTTCCTGTAACCCTGGAGCTCAGATACAAGATAGAAACAAGGTTCAAGGCCTGCAGGGCGCCTCGGTGTGTGGGGCTTAGAACCTGATTGGTGGATAACTTGGGTTAGTCAGAACTGGGAGGGGCTGCACATCGACTCCTGCCGATTTTTTAAAAGGGATACCGTTCCACGAGGTAGGGGGTCGGCCCCAGATCATTGGTGACACGAATGGGAACCTAGAGTTCATGATATACAGGTCCCTTCGTTCTCCTTCCCTCTTCTCGTAACCCCGGGGCCTATCAGGACTCCAGGGTATCTGTTGGGAGAAGTGTCCAAGAAGGATCTTTAGGCTGGAGGATGGGAGGACAGATTGCAGAGAGTTACTCTAGGTAGATTGTTTATTATTGTCTTAATTTTTCTCAGATGGAAAAAGGGGGTAATAAAATACCTAGCCTGTGTCATTGTAAGAATTAAGTCAAAACAATACCCGTAATACATTTAGTCCAGTGCCTGGCGGTGTTTATATGAGGCCAAAATGTTCCAGGTAAGCGAGGGTCACATCGGATGATGTGAGTGGATTATCACGATTGCTGAAAGTGCCTAATCCAGAACTACAATATTTCAATAGAATGTTTAGAGGAAACTTTAAAATACTGAAAAAGACTATGTCAGTCAGACAGTAAATTGACTTTGGCTTTTAAGTCCCACAGAAATCCCAAGAGATGGGAGCCCTTCAGAGTGCCTGAATTGCTTTTCCAGACTCACCTCTACCCTGGCAAACTGAAGTCTGGGGCTTTCATATCTCCAGGCTTTTATTTAGCCATGCTTTGCACCTGTGGCGTTTCCTTTTTTTTACTTAAGTTCTGCCTCTCCTTTGTTGGGTGGGTGTGTAGTGGGTGGGCTGATGGGAACCGTGGTTGTTTTTGTTTTTGGCCTCAGAGTCAGACCCAGGAGCCTCCTGATTACCCCAGCTTTGTGGAGTCTGTGGATGAATACCAGTTTGTCGAACGCCTCTTACCCCCTACCAGCATCCCAAAGCCCCCAAAGCATGAACACTATCCCACTCCCAGTGGTTGGCAGCCACCCAGAGGTGAGCTGGGCGATGGGGATGGCTTGAGGTTTACAGAGGGGAATCTCCCGCTCCCTAGTGGTCTACCTCCCCAGTTGAGGCTCTGGATTCCCCAGTGGGCTCAGGACTTGTGTGGAGGTCTGTCAGGGCTTAGCATCTGTCTCATGTTCAAGGAAGGGCCTGGGAATGCAGCCCTGTTTTACTGGTACCCATCCATCCACACTGTTGGGATGAGGTCTTCCCATTCAGGAAAAGTGAAGCATAGAAGACCTAAGAGCTGGGACCCCCACTCCCACTCGAGTAAGTCTTGTACCATAATTGAGAGCACAGCTTCGTAGTTGGGCAGTTCTGGGTTCCAATTTGGCTCTGCTGTTCGTTGCCAGTGTGATCATGAGTTAGTCACTTAGCTTCTCCCATCTTCAGTTTCAGCAAAATGGAGATAATCTGCTCAGTACATAAAGCACTCAGCACAGAGCCCAGCATGTGGTAGGTAGGTGTTCAGTGCTGTAAATCCCCATTTCTTTGCGCCAGAGGTTGATATTAGCCTCCCTGACCCAGGGGAGAAGTGCAGGATTCGCCCCAGATCGGGACCTAAAGATCCAGGGAGGCATGGCCCTAACATCATTTCTTCTTGAGCACCTTCTGCTGCCAGGCCCTGTGCTGGGCCTGTGAGGTTACCAGGTCAAACCAGCTGGTCCTGGCTTAAATTTAGGGAAAGAGCAGGTCTTCTGACCTGAAATCTAGAGGTGGCTTTACCATTGGGTGCACTGAGTCTCCGTAGACTGTGAGGGGAAGGGCATCGGCTAAGGTGGCATAAAGCCTGGGGAGATTTGGCTTCTCACCATTCTTCCATGTAACAGACCCCCCACCCAACCTGCCCTACTTTGTGCGGCGCTCTCGAATGCACAACATCCCTGTCTACAAGGACATCACACATGGCAACCGCCAGATGACTGTGATCCGAAAGGTGGAGGGGGACATCTGGGTAAGTGAGGGCATGGGTCAGGGGCTGATTCTAACCCTTTCAGGGCTGAAGGGATGGGAGTCTACTAGAGGGGATGGTCTGACCAGGCTTGATTTATCATCGTCCCCCTCTCCCTCCCCAGGCCCTGCAGAAGGATGTGGAAGATTTTCTGAGTCCACTGTTGGGGAAGACACCTGTCACCCAGATCAATGAGGTGACAGGTACCCTGCGGGTCAAGGGCTACTTTGACCAGCAGCTCAAAGCCTGGCTCTTGGAGAAGGGCTTCTGAGGCCCAGCTGAGCAGGCTGCATGATAGCATCCCCCACAGACTAGAGTCCAGGGGGTCTTGGGAGGATGGAGGTGGCTGTTGGAGCAACTGGGACAGGAGGTACAAATGCCAGGGCTAAGAGCTTGGACAGGGCAGAGTCAGGGCTAAAGGGCTTCAGAGCAGGCCTCGCTCACATTAAGGGGCAAACGGGACCCTCTCCACAGGTGCCAGCAGTGGGGGAGGGCTGCCTGACAGTGGAGACCCTGCCTTCATTGGAGCTTATTGGGCTCAGCTGTTCAAATTCTGGAGGTTGTTGACTGGTGAAAGTAATAGCCCAGCCCAGTTTAGGGGAGGGTAGCACAGGGCAAACACACTGAGTACATTTCTTCCTTGGCCCTCAGACCCTCACTGCTGCAGACATTCTCAAGCCCTTGCTCCAGGCCTGTGGAGAACCCAGAGGACTCAGGCCTGGGTCCCCGAGATCTTCAGTTCCAAGTGCAGGCATAGAAGGTCCATGTCAGCCCCTGGGCTCATTTCTTTTACCCATGGAGAAGTAGAAGGCCCAGTCACCTTGGCTCCATTCTAGGGAGAGTTGGGTCTGACTACATTTCTAGCTCTAAGAAGCTAAAGTGATTAGCTTGAGCTGGTCTTTCCACAAGGGGGTGCTCGGGAGCTCCCAGCAGTCCAGCACAGCCAGC